TAGACAACAACCACTTAGCGATCAGTTACTGGACAAGTCTGACACGATATTTCTCGTTCGTAACGCTTCATTTTTGTTTTCTCTTATAAATAATCATATCATGGTTAGTACATGCATTCATCCTTAATCACACAATAGAGAGAGAGAGAAACGACGAGTCTACTTCATAGGAGAGCATGAGCAACACAGAGTCGTATCCGCCGGAGTTTCGGCCTCTGATGAGCGAGCATGCAGAACCGGAAATAACCGTTGAACCAGATATTAACCGGAGCAAGGACATCAATATCCCGGTTATCGATATGGAGCGTTTGGACATGGAGAAACTGAGAGAGGCATGCAGAGACTGGGGAATATTCCATCTGGAGAATTCGGGGATACCGTCAACGGTGATGTCACAGGTGAAAGAGATAACGGAGTCGCTGCTGAGTCTGCCGTTTGAGGAGAAACGGAAGTTGTTCGGCGTTAACTCTCCGTTATCGTATTACTGGGGAACACATACGGTAAGTCCATCGGGAAACACCATGAAAAGGGCCCCACAAGAATCTTCCGGCCACTTGTTCGAAGGCATCAACGTTCCTCTTGCTTCTCTTGCTCATGTTGATCCTAAGCTCGAGTCTTTCAAGTAAGATTAACGACGTCTTTTACTCTTACTTCATTGGTGGTTTTTGTTGGTTAATCGAACCAACAATTTTAGATCTAAAACTCTTACTTTATGTTAATAACAACTCTACTTTATGTTATTCTAGTTTGCATGCATAGACAATTTTAGATTTAATTTAACACTACATTTCTCCGATCAAAGATGGCCGGCGACTAGATTATAAACACGTAGTAGTAAGTCTGGTTGATAATTTTTTCTCCAAATAAAAAAAGTCTGGTTGATAACACCGAGGAAATGTCGCGAGTTTTACAATAGAATAGAAAATGAAAAAAATGTGAAATAAAACGACAAAATCATAAAAAATGACAAAATCATTAAATGATAAAAATGTAACTTAAGGTGAAACAGCATGCATACCACGAGTTTTACATTTAGTTTTCGTTAGTATTGCGAAATAGCAAAAATGATTAGTAAAAGCAATGATTTAGTGAATCTAAATCTATAGTGGTAAATAATTAAATATTGTAAAATATAGCAAAACTGATTAGTATTATACTTTAATATTCTTACAAACAAGTATAAAATGATTAGTAAAAGCTTTAATAAGTATTTTAACTACAGTTAAATTGTGATGGGTTAACGCAGAGTGGTGTTGGAAGAATATGGAAGGCACATAACTAGGATTGTTGTGACCCTATTTGAAGCCATAGCAGAAACTTTGTCCCTCGAACTATCCAATTACAAGAAAATGAGCTACTTATCGGAGTCAACAGGTGTGATACGTGTTCAACGGTATCCTCGGTGCACCGAATCCCCAGGACTTGAGGCTCATACGGATAGCTCGGTCATATCTATAATAAACCAAGATGAAGTTGGTGGGCTAGAGTTCATGAAAGATGGGGAATGGTTCAATGTCATACCTCTTGCCAATTCTTTGGTCATTGGTCTAGGGGATATGATGCAGGTAATTAATTACTAAACTAACCTTCCATGCTAAATAGGTTTCATATGGGTTATGAATTAAATCTTGAAAGTGAAAAGCTGATTTGATACTAGGTGATAAGTGATGAGGAGTACAAGAGTGTGCTACATAAAGTGGGAAGGAGGATGAAGAAAAAAGAGAGATACTCAATAATTTATTTTGTGTACCCAGACAAAGGCTGTATGTTTAAATCGAGTCGCTATAAGCCATTTGCATTCTCGGAGTTTGAAGCTCAAGTTAAGGTTGATGTTGAGACTCATGGTAGCAAAATCGGCCTTTCCAATTTCCTCAACAACCCCTAGTGTTTATTCTTGTATTTTCTTTTTTTTTTCTCCAATCATCTATATTAATAGTTCGCTTTTTCTTTCAAAAAAATATTTGTAGCTCTAAGTGCCGGTCTGGAAAACCTTTTTTGTAAGTTTTTTTTCTTTCTTCTTCCTCTAGTTAAACTTTTATTTGCAAATCCTTTAATCGCTGTAGAGATACACCCTAATACCTTAAAAATTAAAATTAATGCCAAAAATCTCTAACTTTAGATTCATATCCTAAAGGAAAAATTCCATAAAAACATCCCAATTCCAATAAACTTTTTAATACCCAAACTTTTTCGTTACCGAGTTTAATACTGTAACTAATTAAATTGATCATTTTAATACCTCAACTTTCAAACTTTACCCACTTTATATCGCGACTTAAACGAAAAATAACGGACGTTATCTATTTTTTTTAAAATATTATATTAATATTTTAATCGAAAATAATAATAAAAGCTGAAAAATTGAAAAAATCGAAAAAATTTCAAAAGAAAAAATTGAAGAAAAAATAACTAAATTTTAGATAAAAATAAATTATAGTTCAAATTAGAAATTTTAAAAAATCTTAAATTTACAAAATAAATAATTTGAGTTTAAGATTAAAATTAAATTAAATTTTAAATTAGAAATAAAAACCAAAACTATTGTTAGTAGGCTAATTTCGTAGATTTATTTGTGCAGCTAGGGGTAAATTTATTTTAAAATTATGAGAGATTTATTTGTGCAATGATAGAAAAGTAATGTGCACTAAAAATAAAATTGAAAAATTAGAGAATCAGATTCGATTACAATGAGATAATAGCGAGTATGTGAGCCCTCATATCATGATGTGACATAATATATTTTTTTCTCCCGACGAGATGTTTCTCTTCAAGTAGATGGTGCATAGTAGTGTTGAAGAAGCTTAATGAGACTTTATGACTATTGAAATGTCTGATAATGATTTTAATGAGTTTAAGAAGATGGTCATGAAACTTTATTTTGGTTAGAAATTAGTCTGCCAACAATTATATAATTTTGATGAGTTTGAAATTAGCCTACCAACAATTATATAATTTTTGGTTTCTGAAATTTATAATATAATTTAATTTTATCTTAAACTTCAAATTTTTTTTTATTTGAAATTTTAAGGATTCTTTT